GATAGTTTGGCAGCAATTCTGAACGGGGCCGCTTTTTTTTTTTTGACGGCAGTTACCTTACAGTCCTTGGCATAGTAGAGCGTTCTTCCACGGAGCTTGAAGTACCGGCGCTTCCACCTTTGAAAGGAGCTCGTCTGCTTCAACAGGTTTCCCTCTTTCACGCTCTTCTGCGCAAGCAAATAGAAGGAAAGACAACGCACATGAGGCAGCCGGCGAACGGACAGCGGAGCACTTCCTCGTCAAGAGATTGTGCGTAATTACATCTACGGCGACTCAAGCCAAACCCCGGGTTTGATTTCCTCGACCAACCGAGCAAGGCGGATGGCGAAACTGTTCTGCTTGTTTGTCTTGAGAAGCGGTTTCTGTCTCAGCATACTCGACAAACTCTCTCGACAAACACCGACAGCCGTTTCCAGAAGGAACAACAACAACGCGGGCTGGAATCTGCCCCCGCCGTCAATGTTTGGATGTGATTCCTGGGGGGGGGGCTTTCTTTGCACATCACCGGCACTCGTGTCAACTCGGTGTGCAAATAATGGCGGGTGCGAGAAAGGGGTCCAAAGTACCGCCACTCAGAAAGTGACACTTGCGAGGTTGTCAAGGAGTGCTGAGTTGAGCACTAGAAGCTATCTGGCGGCATTCCCATTTATGGCTTGCTTGGACTTTGTTCCAAAGCGGCACGAGCGCACAAGGGCAAGTCCAAAGTGAGCGATCGGAACCACCAGAGCTGCTATTCCTGCACCCGACACAACCAAACTAAGCATGTGTTCCTTTCCGCGGTCGCACTGACCTCTTCCGCAGAGTGGCTCCAATAGAAGCTCTGAACCAAATTGGCTTCCGGTCGGTCCTCTTGGCTCAGCTGCTCATCCTCGCCGAGCCACGCGGGAGACAAGCAGCACCACCTCGCTCGGCAGAGGGCCAGCATCGGCGGGCGATGCGTGGCATGGGCCTCAGCGGACTAATTTTTTTTTTTTTTTTAGTTACTTAGCAACTGATTGAAAAAGTTACAAACGAAACTAACAGAAAAAGGTCAAGCAAGGCATCTCAGCTCTCGAGCTGCTGCCAGACCCACCCAGACCGGACCAGCCCGCAACTCGCTTTCCACGCTAGCGGCTCCTCAAACAATACGCGGTCACTTCCTGCCTCTCACACCTTGTTAGTTGGCAACACCCCCGCAGGTGTGCTCAAAGGCCCGCCCCCCTTCATTTTAGCGTCTGCATGTGTTTACTATTGGTGCCAGTTAGACAGGTTCCACTAGTAATATATTTATAGCCACAAGGAAATAGGCTTGTTCCTACCTGAACACACACACACACACACACACACACACACACACACACACACACACACACCACTCCCCTCTGGTGTGTTTGCGTGCGTGCGTGTGCGTCGGTGTGTACATACGCACATGCATGTGTGCTTGTCGTTCTGTTTTTTTTTTTTTAAATTTTAAACAAGCTTGAAGCCTGCGACTCGCTCTTACACTTCCTCAAAAACAATCCCGCCATTTCACATCAATCAACGTTCCTATCTTTGTTTTACTCGGCCAGTTTTACTCGATTGAAAACGAAAGGTAAAAAAAAAAAAAGACAAAATGGAATTTCTGTAGGGGCCTCTTCAAATGATCACATTTTTTGACATGTTGCAATGTAATACACAACGTTTCTTTACGATATTACAGTCTGAGTTTCTCACTATTTTCAAGTGACTTAAAAAAAAAAAAAAAAGGATCTGCGATTCATGTCTTCATGCGTTTGACATTTTAACCCTTTCATGCACCCTGTAACCTGATCACATGTTACGCTGTCCACTGCAGTAGCCGCTGTCCTCGAAAGGGTTAAAAGGAAAATGTCGACTTTATGGCAGTAGCTGGATGAAGTTAACTTGTAATGAGGATCTTTAACTACGTCACCGCCTTTGATTATCAAGAATTTTTTTTTTTTTTTAAAGACAAATATCGGAACTGATATTTGGTCCAATAATTAAATAAATCTCGATTGTACAATCTACGTTGTCAATGGGCTGCTTTCTCTTCATGTCTTTTTTTTTTTTTTTTTTTGCATCTAGTTTTGTGTTGTGACAATGTAACAAAATTACTGGACTTAGCAACTGTAATAATATTACAAAAACATAAATAACTCATTACGTTACTTTGTTGCCACCTAAATGTAATATATTACTGCGACATTTTATTATTATTATTATTATCAAATCTTGTTGTTGTGCAGTCACTCAGATCATCATCAGATTTGATCAGCGGCGCCGGCAAAGCATTATTCACAAACTGATACGTTGGCTTGAATCAAAACTGGAAAAAAAAAAAAAGCTACGTCTGGACAGATCTACACCCGCATTGAATGGACTCTCCCTTGACCCCCAAAATCAACCACTCCCGGAAAAAAACAAAAACAAAAGCCCATTTAACTCCAACATCCTTGAGAAGGACGACTAAAAAGCACAAACAAACAAAAGAAGAAAATCAAACGCCTGATGACACCGCAAGCTTTTGTACAAATCTCGTAAATAGCTGCCGGTGATTTTGTTCACTAGCTGCTTAGTCATCAAAACGCAGGCACACACGCCGGCACCTTGTGACCTTTTCACACACGCTCGCTCATGTTTTTGCCATCGCGCCAGGCCCGGACCTCGAAGGGGCACTTGTGCACGTTGCCCAGCGGGGGGCAGCGAGAGAGAGAGAGAGAGAGAGAGAGAGAGAGAGAGAGAGAGAGAGAGAGAGAGAGAGAGAGAGAGAGAGAGAGAGAGAGAAAATAAATATTTGGGAGGCTTGAAATAGACACGCCCTCGCATCGGGGCGTCATGCGCAAACATGTAGCTCTGACCGCTCGCACGGAGGCACAGTTAAAGCAAGGCGTGGGAGGACTTCGCACCATGGCGACCACATCCTGTCTCATGCACCCCCGTGTATTTATTTATAGACACTCTAACACACATAGCACACATGACTTGTACAGGAAAAGAAACGGATGAGTGTCTACTCGGTCGAGCACGCGCGCGCCCGCGTGCAGCATCCACGCAACTCAAGTTAACCAACGTTTTTAACTGTTAATGGCATTTCGGACTATCATCCCCTTTTTGGGATTCTGCCTGTAAGGGTTTGTGCATGAAAGGACACATAATCTCCTGCTAGTGACGGGAGGAGGGTGAATGGAAGGGGGTGGGGTGGGTGGGGGTGGGGGGGGGGTGGCTCGTCGGAGCATACGGAACAAATCTGATTCTGGTGCGCTGCTGGATAATCCTCACACATGCACGCACGCACGCACGCGCAGGAAAAGGAGAGTGATGACAGCCGCTTGTCTCGAATGTCCTGATGTGATTAGCATGTTGTTGTTGATTGCTACATGAATTGTGTTTGTAATGGTGCAAAAAAAAAAAAACAAAAACAAGTGCATCAAAACCCGTCGCATTGTCTCAGACTTCATGGAAATTTTAGACCTGCACGTTCCTGAATCATTTGGGATGCAAAGAACATTTTGCAAATAGCTAGCGGTGGTTTCAAAGAGTTGGTGAACTGAACTCATCAGCCGAGGCGGGATCGGGCATGACACGATTGGCGCGTAGTGGCTCTCCCACAACTGACCACATCTTTCATCAGCATCCCCAAATGAGAGGAAGAATTTTTCAGCTCATCCCTTTTCCTCTTGGCCAGTTGATCTCTGACCCGCTCGATAAAGAAGAGCTCGTTTGGTTGCCATTTGTATTCCGCGTTCATATACGCCGAGACATCATTTCGAGACATTTTTGGAGATTTCCTAGAGACCAGGCATGACCTCATTCAGATTTATTAGGCCTCGGCGTTCATTAGCTACTAAAAGCAACCCCCACTCCCACATAGGAGGAGGAGACCAATGGGTTATTCTCGGAAAGGAGCACACGCTAAAGCCGCCCCCTTTTATCACCAACGGGTTCCGTCAAGTAATCTGCCTTTTCACCACGGCCATTTCGCCGATAAATTTCATCTCTGCGCAGTCTGGCCAGGCCCAGGATTAAATGCACCGTGGGTAATTGGAGTTGAGGGCACCTCGTGGTCCCTGTGAAGTAAATTCGGTGCCTCCAACCCTGAAAATGCAAGTAAAGGTTCTGTCAAAAGCCGCTACCTGCCCCATTACAAATATTTGATGAGCAGAGGCCTCGCTTCAGAAGGATGTGGTCGCCCGGTCGGCGGACTGCAGGCGCTTTGTGACTCGTGCACACGGCGGTCTCGTTACCCAGCTTGCACACTTGAAAGGAAAACGAGTGTGGGGGCTGCGCCAAAGCCTGTCTGCAAGATGATTCACTGGGCTTCTTTGTATTCTGCTCGTAGCTTCACAACTTTCCTTCCATAACTGAGCCAGATGACCCGGAAGTACGTCGGAACTCGAAATGCGCTTTGGAAAGGTGCCTCCGTGTTTAGCCTTTAGCAAACTCCAGAATAACCTTTATCAAAGGAAAGGAGATATCCTGTATTACTCACATTCCTTTAGAGCAGCAATATTTCAACCAACAGACCACTCGCCAAATTTATTTGCACTCACAATCACACTTAGCCACAATTTGGAGCAGGGGTGTCAACATAAATTTTGTCGCAGGCCACATTGTAATTACAGTTTCCCTTGGAGGGCCGCACAATTTGGAGCAGGGGTGTCAAAATAAATTTTGTCGCGGGCCACATTGTAATTACAGTTTCCCTTGGAGGGCCGTAATGAATTTTGGGAAGCCATATCAATGTTTAATCATCTCCACATGTTACATACAGAGCGCACAACAAATTGATGGACTACTAGTTTTAAAATCAGAAGTCAAGAATAATGACTGTTATTGTGGATTACATGTGACAATTTGAAATTTTGGCTCAGATTTCAGCAAGCATCATGGAAAACTTGACATGCTTGATTTGCTTTCGCGGGCCACATAAAATGACGTGGCGGGCCAGATCTGGCCCCCGGGCCTTGACTTTGACACCTGTGATTTAGAGTGTCCCATTAACCTGCCATGCATGTTTTGGGGAATGTTGGGAGAACACCCGAAGAAAACCCACACAAGCACGAAGAAAACATGAAAACTCCACCCAGGAAGGCCGGAACTCGGAATTGAACCCCAGACCTCAGTGTGTGTGTGTGTGTGTGTGTGTGTGTGTGTGTGTGTGTGTGTGTGTGTGTGTGTGTGTGTG